GCGCCTTCGACGCGATCTCGGCGGTGGAGATGGCGGAGCACGTCGGGTGCGCAGCCCTAGCGATGCGAGGTCGGCCACTAGTGGTCGGCCCCCCTAGTTCGGCTGCACTCCGCTCGCAGCATTCCAGCCGTGTCGGTTGTGGTTCCCCGGCCCCGGAGCAGAGGCGCACTTCGACGCGCGATGCGGGCGTGCCTGCCCCCTCAGCGCCCCCGCCCCCGCGCACTGCAGACTCGCCAACTTCACGCAGCCCTTCCTGAGCTCGATCTTCAAGATGCTCAAGGACGACGGGCTCTTCTTCATGCAGGCGCGAGGCGCGAAGTGCCTCCTCCCACCAAGCCATGAAGTGCCTCCCATCGACAGCGCGCTCAAGGGACACCCCCCTTGTTCATGATGCGGGAGCCGTGGACTGGCCCGCCTCCCAATGAGTCGAGAGTCCCAATGAGTCGAGAGCGCGACGGCGATGAAGTGAGTTGACTGCCTCGGAATGAGTCGAGAGGTGCGACGCCCCCCCCCCCCCCCTTATGCAGGTGGCTGGGCTGCGCAAGGGGTCCAACTGGCAGGACGTGCAGTGGGGGCTCTTCATGTCAAAGTACATCTTCCCCGGCGCGGACGCGTCCACGCCGCTCTACTGGTACACGCAGCAGCTGGAGAAGGCGGGCTTCGAGGTGCACTCGGTCGAGAACATCGGCCGCCACTACTCGCACACGCTCAAGGCGTGGTACGACAACTTTCAAAAGAACAAGTCCAAGCCCGAGATCCAGCAGTACCCCGCGCGGCTGCACCGGCTGTGGGACATCTTCCTCGCCTGGTCGGTGGTCGCCGCCGGCCAGGGCTCCGCCACCTGCTACCAGATCGTCTCGCACAAGAACCTCTACTCCTTCCCGCGCGACAACTTTTGCTCCGACCAGATTGCGCGCCCGACTGGGCCGCGCGCCTGAGCCGCGCCCGCCGCCGCCGCCGCCGCCGCGCTCGGGTGTCTGCGCCCGCGGGCCTTCTCGAGAGGAGGAGAGGGCGAGGGGGGTGGGGGTGGGTCGGGGCGACGCTGGGGGAGGGGCCAGGGGGGGATCTCGCCTCTGGACTAAGCGGGCTGCATGGAGAACTCTTGCGGCCGGTGGCCTGCCGCGAGCTGAGACACGCCCCCGCGATGCCGGAGGGTTTCGCGCGCCCGCGTACCGCCCCGCAGCGCGCGTGCGCAGTGTCCGCCAGGAATTGGGAGCATGCTCACACCAACACATTCACATACACACCGCGGCCGTGTTTGTCCATAATGTATTTATCACTGATCGAGCCACGACGATGCGTGTTGGCCCGCTGTGCGCACACACCTCTCACCTGGAGCTGGACCTCCGTCTGGCCCCTCTGCGTGGGGCCCCGGCCGTGGCGCGTGGGCGGGTTGTTGCACGAGTATATGGGCCAACAGCGTCGAAAATGTCCCAAAAAACGTGACTCGAGTTTGTGGCAGCCCCACAGCCGGCGCGCGCCACCGGGACGCACCGCTTGCTGGATACACGCACTCCCTGGGTCCCAGGGAGTGCGTGTATCCAGCAGGAGCGAGTAGGCTCGACGCCGCGCTCGCTGTGGAGCTGCCACAAACTCGCCGCCGAGCGTGCCATCGAAGGCGTCCCGGCGGAGGTGATGGAGTGTGAGACCTGAGGCTGCGGAGGTGACGCCTGAGGTACCGGCCCGTGCACAGCGACTCAGCCGGCGACCGCCACGGGCTCAGACGAGACTTGTCGACGCGTTCCGGCTCAGCTTCACCGTGGTCCTCGGGCGTCTGTCGACGTCAGGACCACCCATACAGCTCGCGGGTTTGAGGTCGCAAGAGCCAAGATGGTGGCGTTTGGACATCCCAACCATCACACAAGACAGCCTGTAGGTGATGGCGGGACGGCGCAGTGTTTGTGGCACTCGGAAGTAGGCACCCGCGGCACGGCCCCGCTGTCGGCTCTCGCGGGCTGCGGAACCGGACCCAGAAGGGGACGGTCCGGGCGAGTGTGGCAGCTCCTGCGCTAGTATGGGCACCCTCTATCATAGCACTACTGATCCTGGTCATTAGAGCTGCCAGGGATAGCGTCAGGAGCCGGTAGGAGTCAAAACCCCTCATATTTGAGACATCGTGGCCCATATACGTGTACCCTAAGTTTCTCCGAGACCTCGCGAGCGGCCGGCTATTCACACCTCGGCAGTGTGGTTTGGGCCGGGCAGGGCAGTGTGGGTTTCACACCCGGGGCAGGTAGGGGATCGGGCAGGGCAGTTGTGCGGCAGTGTGCGCGGACGACCCCGACACACACCGACACACCACGCACAATGGGAGGCTATCGCGCACGATCGGGCATCGCGCCGCAAACAACTCGCCGCACAGATGGGGGGGGGGGGGGGGGGCAAAATCCCACACACACCGGAGCAGCACAGACACCTTACACGTCAGCGCTCGCTCGATGTGGCCGGCGCTCTCCCCTCGGTCCTATCTCGCCTTTTCAACGGCGGCGTGCGGCCACGCGCCGCGCCGAGCCGGTCTCGGCGGGAGACCTCGGAGCCGCACGCGATGCGGGCATGCGCGATGGCTCCGTTGGCTCCGTGCCTAAGGCAGATCGATTAGGGTGTGAGCTGCGGCAGCCACCGTTTCTGTACCCGCTCGATCACGTGCAGGCCGTCGGAGGCCGCGCTGGATGGCCCAGGGCCGGCGGCGGTGAAGGCGTCCGTCGATGAAGGGATGTCGTCGAGGGAGCCATCGTGCACCGGTCCAGTTGTCGGAGTTCGAGATCGCAGTCGACTTGGAGAGTGTGTTCGGCCCTTGACGAACTCACGGAATGTGAGCGACTTGGTGCACGCTGGGTCGAGCATCATGACTCGCACCTCATCCTGGGCGAGGAACTCGCCCAGGGACCAGCTGTTGGCGTCGCCGTTTTGATCAAGCTGCATCCACTGCATGGTTTCGTAGTCAAGCGTAAACGCCCAGGAGTTGGTGCCTGGGTGACTTGCTGATGAGAGCGCCTTCCAGGCGGGTAGTCGTGCCCCTCACCTACGGTCATACGGCGGCGTCAGAGGGGGGGAAGGGGCGCGAAGCGTGAACATGGAGGCAAGCAGGTGGTGGCTGCACCTGGCCAAAGCCGGCGACCTCGAAGTTGTCGTAGCTTGTGCGGATATCGCTGAGCGTGAGAGGGACCGGATCGGCAGCAGCATGGGCGGCCGCGTCAGCGGCCGGAGAGGCCGGAGAGCCATCCGACGGAGGCCGGTCGTGCATCGGCGCGTCAGCCGCAGGGGCCGGGGGGGCGGCGGCATCCATCGCTGCGGGTCGCTGCGGGCCGACGATTGTGGACTGATCGATCGTGGCGGGCGGATTTCGGCTGGGACGTTCTACGGTTAAACCAAGAGCGTCGGCGCCGACAAGAGAGACTTATAAGGGTAGATTTTGCGCTGGCCGGCCAACAGGCCAAACGACGTTCTGCCGGCACCTCGGGGAAGTCGAGGCTCATGTACTATTGAGGGCTAATCGCTGTCCGCGAAGACCGAAGAGGCCGCGACCATGCGCGCGCGAGAGGATGCGAGACAACACGCAAGCGGACCACTTTGAGTTCACCACGAGCTTTTCTTCATTCCTCGCCCCGACCGACGTTGCTCTACAGCAGCCCTACAGCAGCTCCACAGCAGCTCTACAGCAGCTCTACAGCAGCTCCACAGCAGCGTGCGCGATTCACGTTGCGCTCAGCGTCGTGCACGGTTAACCGACGTTGCGCCAATGGGCCAATCCAGGCGACTCCCCTACTTCCACGGCGGTGGCGAGCGACCGCTGCTGCGCGGGTCGGTCATGGCTAACCTCCTGCTGGTCTGGCCTGTCGCGGTGGCGGTGCACTTTGGCGCCGTCGCTCTCTTCGAGCCGCGGCCGGGTCGCGCAGCCATCAGGCTGCTCGTCGGAATCGCCACCACGCTCAACGTTTTCTTCTCCGACCGCTACCACAACAGCGACCTGCGCTACCCCGACGGCTCCGCCTCGCAGCGGACGGAGCGCGAGGTGGCGTGGCTGAGGTGCGATTTTGTAGGCACCATCTCGACGAGCGGCGGCGTCCATCCCACGCATGCGGCAGAAGGTGCCTCCTCCGCCTCGTAGGCATCTCGCTGGTGCTGTCCACCACCTTCTTGCTCTGGACGAGCCACTTTGGTTGGCCGGCCTCTCTCGCCACCCTCACCTGGCTCACCGGAGCCGCCACCGCCGCCGTCGCCGCCGCCGCTTTTGGCCTCTATGGCCGCGGAGACGGCAAGACTCGCATCGCAAGAGGCTGAGAGTGTCATGGCGCGCCACTGACGCGTCTGCAGCATGGACCCGCAGGCGCGATCCGCACCGCCGAGGCGATCATCAAGGCGACGCTGGGGGTGCAGTACGTCTTCTTCTTTGGGTACATGGTCCTGCTGGCCCTCCGCACGCCGTGCGCTCCGAACACCGCCATCTGGTACGCCCGAGGGATGCGCCGAGATCTGCCGCACGCCGCCGTCTGGTCCGAGGCTGCTTCGCCCTCTGTGTGTGTGTCGTGTGCTTGCGCCATGTGCCCGATCCGCCCTGTCCCAGGTTCACCTACCTGCCCGGCTTCCTCTCGTATGCGCTCAAGTGGCCCGCCGACGGCGGAACCGCATCGAGAGTCACGGCGCCCAACAGCTCAGGAGTACGACGTCACGCCTCGAGCTGAGAATAGGACCTGCCTGGGGCTCGCACGACGTCTTCCACGTCTTTGTGCTGCTGGGGCACGCGATGTCGGCGCTCTGCGACGCCGTCAACGTGCATGCGGACTGCATAGTCCAGTGACGGAGGTGTTGTGCGGTACAGATA